GGAGGGCAGCGCAGCACGGTTGGTATCCCGCCGGATGCACGAGAGCATCGGTGCCATAAAATCAAGCCCACCTTCCCTTCTTCAACAAACACCTGCAGCAGCACCTCGGAGAGAATAAAAGCAGCACAGACTTGTGAGCCTTTCCTAGGGAAATTATCCCTGCTTCCTGGGATGAGCAGGAGCTTTCCTTCTTGAGAATTGTATCTACATCAATGTTAGCAGTGTTAAATAGCCTCTGGCAACCTTGACTTCCATGAATTTGTGGAGTCCCACCGTTGAATATGTGTTTTCTTCTCTACAGTATCCTGTACTTTATAATTTAAATGCGTGCTCTCTAACAAAAAATATTAAAAAACCCTCCAACACCTGCTGCCTGGTATTCTTTAATCAGAACTGCTCTATTTTCTGATGCAAGAAATGGAGATCAGTCCTTCTCAAGTTACCTTTTGTGTACTACTCCAGTTTTTAGCACGTCTTCTTCTAGCATCTCATCCCCATGCTTGGGAATGTTTGAAGTCTTCTCCTATGGAAACAACTTCATATCCTTGATTATCTTATTGCCTTTCTCTACATCTTCTGTAGTTTGGAGACTACAGATCTACTCTTTCGGAGACAAGGAGAACCTGAACTGAATGCGAGGGCCAAGAGAATCCAGACGTGGGTTCATCAGAGATTTTATTCAGTGGTTTATCATGCCGTTCTACCACACTGTTTGGCTGTCTATTTCCCTCCTAGTAATTTCTGGTGTTTGTCATCACAGAGCTTCCCACTGTGCCTCCAAGATATTTCTTCCGTTTGATTATAGCCAATTTAGAGAATATTCTTGTATTCATTGCTAAGGATGTGCCATCTGTAGTACTTTGCAATTATTCACACCAAATCCAACCTTCATTTTATCATCATCTGCTAACTTAGAAATGTGAGAACCTTCTGTATTTCTTCACAGTTAGCTGTAGGTTGGACTGCCCTCAATAACTGTTTGTTATCATCCACAAATGTTATCAGTTCATTATTAACTCCCTTTTCCAGATCACTCAGAAATACGTTGCACAGCATTGGTCCCATCCCGGGATCTTTGGGACACCTTCTCAGAAATTTCAGTAACCATCCTCCTTCAAGAAAACAGACAATTTCTTCTTACTTTTGTGTCTTATCTTTTAACCAGTAACTAATTCATACGATGATTTTTCCCCTTCTCACATGCAAGTTTCTTTCAGAACATTTGCCCAATCTATCCACAGTGCTCCCTTAGTACCCGGATTAGCTCTTGGCCCTTGCTAAGATGGGATTCCTGTTTCTGATTTGCTTAGAAAAAACACGTTCCCATTTGTTTTGGCCATACTATGGCTTTACATCTAACCCCACCAGAATTTACACCCTCTTCTATTTTCCTTCTTCAGTTTTCACTCCTACAATTTAAAGAATATGTTAACTCCTGAAATCTCATTTACTCTTGTTTAGCAATGCTAGTTTTTTTCCAGGTGTGGGAGTAGAGGGACATGCTTTTTGAAACTGATGTAGATTCTCTCTGAGACCCCACTGCACATCTAAACATATTGCAAGACTCCATACCTTCAAGCATTTTAGCCTCCAGCTGCTCCTTTTACTTTCCCTTTTTTTGCTTGCTTCCTAATGCTTATGATTTGCCCCTTTCAAACAGAAAAACACTGCGGTGGATTTTCTGTATGATGTCTCTTTGGCAAACTAGAATTCTCCTCTTTCCTCCCTTGGAAGACCAGAACCTGCACCACTGCACTTTCTGTTCATACTCAGCCCCTGAAAGTTATAGTAATTGTGGTGCAAAATCTTGCTATTGAAGACTTAAAAACATAATGTACATTAATGGTGAAGATATCTATATCTAATTCTGTAAAAAACTGAGAACAGAATAAAAGTATAAAGTATGAGCCTAAATACACACAGCCCAAATGCACCATCACAGATCTTACCCACAGAGCATAATAACTTAGCAGAAAAAAAATCAGCATTAGTTTTAAGAAAAAAAATAATGTTAAGAGAGTTACCCTTTACCCTTCAGAAAAAAAACCCTATAACTTCTTTTTAAAAATCAGGGTAGTGAAATCACATTTAACCAACTAAGCCCTAGCCCTATTTTTCCTGAAGCATCTTAATGAAAAAAAAAAATTAAGAATCACTGGGCTATGCATTTCCCTCTTCTTTTTCTGTCATATACTATCTCCTGTGAATATGGAAAAATCTATTTCCTTTCATTGTATTTATATACTAAGATATCACAGCTAAAAATATACCAATTTACTCATTTTTGAGCAAAACTGTTTTGGTAAATAAAATAAATCCCTGAAGTACTATGCAATCAAATCTTAAAAAGTTTGTGCCATTGACTTCAAAGGGCAGCATGTAGGCTTTTCTACAGGCAGTAGTTTTGGACAGAAAGGTGTGCAGTAAACATGATAAAAACAAGTGTCTTCATAGGCTAAAGGTTTTTATCTCTCTCTTCTGTTTCTTTTCAATGAAACAAAGAGAGGTAGCTCAAATATGTGAGTTGTCAGGAATACTAGCATTGTCAAGTCCACACAGCTGAGGAACAGTGATTTAACTCATTTTCCTCATCAGCTAAATTCAGCTTGATGAGTTTGCATCTGTTGGTTGTCAGAGCATTGCCTTGATTCTCAGATTTTAAACAGAGATTTCAGTACTGGCTTTAAAAGAAGAAAGGAAAAGTTTTGTGAGGAGAGATGTTTGACAGGGAATCAACTAAAGAAAATCAGTAGACCTGGAGAACTGATATGAAACCATCTCTCCAGAGCCTTTCTACAGAGTACTGCTTAACTTAGTTTAAATTGTTTTTGGTTTGAAACATGTGGAGTCAGAAGCTCAGCTCGGGCAAAACTGTACCAGCTCCAGAATCAGTCTTACGGATCAAGTAATAAAGTGGAAAAATGGAAAAACTAAAGATAAATTATTTATAGTTTTGTCAGTCAGTTTTGGGGAGAGGGGTTTTTTCTTTTGAAAATGCTGCTTGAAAGCAAACTTTAAAAACCTGCAAGTATTTTAAAGTGTTTTAAGACTGTCCAGATTTTTGTAAATGTTGCTGTTTAATTAATTTTGTCTGAATTTTGTGGAGAAATTCCTGCATTTAGTTGTGAATAAGCAGCACTGGAGTCTTGATTAAGTTAGTACCTCCGGCTCAGTCCCTTCTTTTAGTGAGTCCCCTCTGCTTTTTCCGAAAGTAGCATACTAGCTGGGATCCAAAATACCGCTTGGGGAACACAGCAATAGACACAAGACAAATTTTATCCGAAAGGCAATTTTAGAGAAATTAGGGGAATTATATCAGGAATGAACTTGGCTCAGCCGCCACAGAGGCACTACACGTCCCGTTCAGTAAGGTTTGTTATATTGCCAGTACAATATAACATTTTATCTCCTCTGTTCAGATTCACGCGTGTATTTAGCCCTACTGCTTTTGGCTCCTGCAGGAGGCCAGGCAGAGCTCGGGGAGCTGGGGACAGCACTTTGGCGATGCTGGAAAGTTCAGCAAGACAGAGCTTGAAAAAGGGAAGGTATAAAATGCAAACTAAGCAGGATGTGTAATCAACAACCTCCTCTTCTTAGAAAATAAAATTTTTACTTAATGGTGGACAGGAAGGGGGGAGGCAGAAATATCAGACAGCAGATACTTTTTGGACAGACTGCGCCCTTTACAAACGTTAACATTCTCTTAATACAGCAAAAACTGTTCATCAAGATAAAATAATGCAAATAGCTCTGTCAGTCACAAGAACAGCTACCCAGGCAGGACTCAGCCCACAAAGATGACATAAAAAGTTGACTCTATGCACATTTAAAAAAAATAAAGTCTTTTTTTCCCGGTTCTCTCACCTGCTTTCGAATAAAATTTAGATATTCTTTTAACAGTGTTCTGAAAGAATTAAGATAAAAAACCCTTGTGCCCTCCAAAATATAGAAGAATACACTTGCAACAGAAATAACAGATAATCTAATGGGAGAGATGACTGGAGTTTTCTTAATTTTTTTAAGGCTGTCCTTTAACACTTGTTTTTGCAAAGCAGCATTTTACACATCTTTTAATCCACACTTCTGCAATCCATATCCCAATGTCAGTTAGACTGGCTCTATAGGGACCACAGACAAATATCATTTTATTACGGTAATAAAGGACAAAGGGAATACATTCTTCTAAATTTGTTCCCTTTGAAAACTTTATCTCTGAAAAGAGAAAACCATCATGTTTTTAAAGACAGAAGAGCTTTAAAATATCCATTTCATATTCAAGGCTGAGTTCAATTGCATGGGCTTTGTATTTTCCTAAGCATTTATCCACAAAATCATACAAAAATATTTTCTAACACACAATAGAATATGCTCAGCCTATATATTCACTTATTTCATTCAGCTTTTTAAAAAAGGCTGCACCCTAAAAAATAAAGCCACTTTTAGTTACGAACCCATATACAGATTAAAAAGACTAATTTTATTTAACTTTTTTTTTTTTCTCTCCATCATCAATGGTACTCTAGTTTGAACAGTACACTAAGTTTGCTCTTGCTTTCTCGCTCGCCTCCCCAGTGCTGGAGACACCTGCCTGAAGCTCATGGAAGGCAGTAAGTGGGTGTAAGGTGAAAACCCACCGCGTTTCCCCACTTACCTCTCTTCGATGTCCTGCAATGCAGCTCCTTCATGCTGGCTCCTCCACAGTGCTGCCGAAATGCCCTCCGGGTCTTACCCAAGCTTCGGTCCCTTACACCTGGAGTCAGGGCACTCTGCTCTCCCCACACTGCGCCCCTCTCCCGTCTTGGCGAGCAGCCCCAAAAATGGGCTACCATTCACTCACTCTTTGCCTTGCACCCCAGGGAGAGAAGAGCCTTTCAGGGACCCTCCGCTCCCGGACCTTTCACAGCCCACTTTGTCATCGCTCCTCTCTTCTACCTCATGAGCAGTGATCAAACCAAGTGTGCTCTGGCACTGGACAGGTTTCTGATCAATAAATTACTCTGTTTTACATGGTTCAAATTTAAGCTTTTATTTGGTTTTTAAATTAAAAAAATAAATTTCGTTATTAAATAGTGGAATGGGTCTAAACTAATGTTTACATATTAATTCACTTGCTTTAGGATACCACCAGAGAAAGAATTAAAGTATACCACCTGGACAAAACCTTCTGTTAGAAAGCTCAACAGTGGCGTAATTCAGTTAAGCAGAAAAAAACCCCAGAAGTCTTAATGTTTACAATGAACGTTAGAAGTAAACCTCCGGTTTTAGTGTCATCCAAATCTACTTTCCATCACAAAGGCAGTCATTGTATTCAGAATACTATACCACAGTGCTAATGTCATCGGCTTCGTCTGGTTTCTTTTGCCTGCTTGGCAGGGATTTCAAGTACTCAAGGTGCCTCCTTGCATCCTCCTGATTTTGCCGGACGTAATAAACCACATATGAGATCACCATGGTGAACCAGCCAAACATGGTGACCAGCATGGCGTAATCGGTAGTCTTTTTAGGAAGGTTGCAGAGGTCAGCATCGTTGGCAGCATTGAGGAATGGTCTTCCCGCATGTTCATCCAGCACAGAAGTCTTGCAGATGACGTTGTTGGCCGTCTCGTGGTTGGAGGCCATGCTCCTCAACACCTGCTGCAGCGTGCAGTCACAGTGCCAGGGATTGTTTGCAATTCTGGCTCTGGCCTTTAAGTTGTTGAAAGCGTTTTTGTGCACGCTTTGAATCCGGTTGTCGGACAAATCCAGAGTCTGCAAGGTTTCTGCCACCCCTTTAAAGGCATGTTCATCTATAAACTCAATCCCGTTTTTTGATAAATTGAGGACTCTCAGTTGGTGCAAGTCCTTAAAAATTTCATTGGGGATAGATGTTATCTGATTGGAGTCCAAATAAAGCAAGACTGTTTCTGGAGGAAGATCTCTGGGTATTTCCTTGAGGTTTGCATTGCTACAGCTGACATTCAGACCTCCGGAGTGAGAACAGAGGCAGCCTTTTGGGCACATACTGGCAGAATGAAAGCACAGTATCATGAGGACAAAACTTTGTAAGAGCAGACACATGGAGAGGGAACGAGTTAACCACAGGTCTACCAAATGCATGCTGGGGTGTCAGCATAATCACACGACCATTTCTCATTCAGCCAACAGTGGTAGGAAAAGGATCGGCAAAGCTGAAACGTGGCTTCATTGTCTTCGGTGGGATTAGTAAAAACTGACTAACATGCGGGCTTCCTCATGGTCAATACTCTTCGTAGAAGCACACCTACAGAGAGGAAGGAAAACAAGTTCCTTACACCATAAACTCCAATCCGAATTTTGTTTTCATTAAAAAAAAACCAAATAAAATGAAGTCAACATGAAGTGCAACACTAAATAAATGATCTATTATCCTATCAGTGCACCAGAGGATTTATTGAGGTAACTCCTATTAGCATTAATCTGAATTTGGTACATAAACCCCCAGTACATTTTTAAGAGGATAGACTACACGTATTACAAATTGCACAGGTCTGGGCGTTAATACTTATTAGAGGAGGCACTGGTTTGTTTTTATCACAGACTTTTCTAAAACAGCTATAAAACTAAATTACATTTTCTCTTGCTAAAGTAGAAGATGCGTTGATAGGAGCTAAGAGTTGGATCTCCAGCAACAGTGACAGGTAAGTGAGGAATCTGTGGTGGTTACTGTGAACTTAGCTCAAAATAATTTATGCTATTTTAAGTCCAAATCGAAGTACTTCAGCAAGGAAATATTTTTACTATATCAAGAAACAAAAATTAAGTAAACCAAATGCTGCTGCAAGACACCACAAACATCCACCATCTCCTTGTCTCCCCCTCCTTCTCTTCTGCTTTTGACCGCTGGATTTCCTGTACCTCCCGGCATTTTGTGAGACACTGCTGCAAGACCCACAGAAATCATTTCTACTTCCAGTTTTCTTGAAAATTTTCTTTTCATTTAACATAGAGAAAAAGAAAGAAATGTAACAACTGCCAAAAACTCACATCCCCCAAACCAAATAAAACTCCCGCAAACGTATGTATGAGCCAAACAAAAAAAATCTTGTTCATGGCATGTAATTTGCTAATAGAGCATATGAAAAATATTGTTTCTGCTTCTCCCCTATCAAGTTGGCTTAAAAATAGTAAATATCCAGAAGCTTTTCCATTTTCTCCTTTAATCGGAGCACAAATACTGAAGTCTGAAATGCTGACCTATAAGGTTTCAAAGACAACCTCATTTATTTTTTTCCCCTCTAATGGTAAACTATGAATTTTCCAACCACAACAAGTCCATTTGTTTCCATGTACATGCCCTCTGTCTTTGTAGCAGCTTGGATATTTGCAGCCTTCAGGTTGTATTTACATATAAATGATTTTTTTTTTTCCAAACCCACAGTGTAGTCCACTGAACAACAAAATCCCTGCAGGAAGGACATGTGTGATTTCACAGGAAAAAGAAGAAATTGCATTGCAATCATTTTTGCCTGCAGAACTCACATACTAACTGCAGTTTCTGGCACATTACAGTAATATGGATCAGATGTGTCATGCAGTATTTCAAACCCATAGCTCGAGTTTTATTTAACCCTTTTGCTGAGGCTTAATATGTCAGTAATTCCACAGAATAGAACCAAAACATCTTAGTAACACGTACATTATGTGTGATTACTCCATTGCTATGGTTTGGGAATGGCTAAAGCTCAGCACGCTCTCACTGCAACTACTGCAAAGAGTAGTAGTGTATCACCACCACTCTTCAACTTATCTATTGATCAAGAGAGAGATGGCCCAGGAACCTAAACAGAAAGTTTACACTTGGACTCCATAACAGGTAAATCTTCTGCTCTAAAATTAAAAAGAAAGGAAATTGTTAGCAACGAGAAATCGTGAAGTTAATCCTGGAAACCATTAAGAAGGCTAGTAAGCAGAGCACACCCTACGAGGAAATGGAGGTAAGGCAGCACCTCCGCAACCAACAGAGTCCTGCAGGACCTTTGTGGAAGCAACAGGGTTTACGTGAAAGAAGCCCGTTGCACTGGGTGCGTCCTTGCCATTCCTCCCTGCGGCTCTTTGGTCACTGCAGTGCTTGGTCTTCAGATCAGATAGAAATCTGCTACAGAAGGAGACAAGTTACAGAAGTTGTTTTTCCGCAGCCTGCCCAAAAGTGCTAAGTACTTGCTAAAATGTGCAGCCCATTCGGAGGCCAAGCTGGAGCTGGCAGCTGCTCACCCTGGCAGCTCCGAGCTGGCAATCTGCTCCTCCCTCCCGAGCCCTGGGTGCTGCCGCAAGAAGGCCCGTCCCCTGGAAAAACAGCCACCTATTTTCTTTTCCCTTCATGTTTACATGTCTCACTACCGTGCTGCACCAAAAGAGTAGACAAGTGGTCCAGCTCATCATCACAGAATAAGCATCTCGTCACTGACTACTTGTATACAGTGGCTTCCCACCAACGATACTGGAGTCCTACCACAGGAATGGACTGGGGTGAAAGAGCAAGGAGCTGGAGTAGATGCTTAATTTTGTAGAAGCATAAAAATCACACTGTTCCCACCAGACTATGATGATTAAATGAAGTATTCACTTCATCACAGGCTAAAAAAACCCTGCCAACCTTGAATTACACCACGGATCCTGCTGAGTCCTCCACAGCGCAGCTATAGCACCAAAGATCATGCGTCCAAGAGGCCCCACGCACCAAAGACAATGTGGAACGTCTTCATCCCACTGAATTCAAATGAAGCTCTTTTTCTTTAATGTATTAATGTGTTTAGAGTGGAAGAAGTAGGATCGTTACAGACTAAGCAGGAAAGTGTTTAATGAAGCAATGCCTCTTCAAAAGAGATAACTAAAATGGATAAAGAGGGAGAAAAACTCCCAATGTTTTAAGTTGTTAGAAACAGCAAATACAAGTTTAAATCTATAATTAACAGCCCAGTCAACAAAACTTAGCTGAGCAAGAATAAAGCTCAGCAAATTCTCTGTGAATTAACTGGAAGCAACCCAACAGGACTGAGCATCAGTCAGGGGAAACAGAGCTTTGTTTACTTCCATAATCAGAATATCTGATGCAAGGGATATCTGAGGATTGGGTGTCACTTACAAACTTACAGCAAGGACTTTATTGACTTGCAGGCATCCTAGTGACTGCAACAAGAAAAAAAGAGAGCTAGGATCCGCACATTCATAATGCCAAAAGGAAGACTTTTGGCTTCTTGAGCATCTATCTAATTTTCTCTGCTTGGAACACAATAAATAAAGAAGAAGGTAACAAAGTTGGAATAAAGAAAAGAGATATACACCAGACAGAAACACTAAAGATTACAAAGAAAGGGATGGAAGACACAGAATTAAAACAAATATATAAATTAATCAGAAATCTGCAAATAAAGAAAAAAAAAGAAAAATAAATTAAAAAGTAAATGAAGGCACAGGAAATGACAGCAATACTACAAGCACAAGTAACATCATGGTATAAAAAGACATTTTGTGTACCTTTCTAAAATACAAGTACAAACATAGAAAGCCTAACATACAAGTCAAATATTGCAGCGCAATAAAACTACAGAGGGAAGATCGCACAAAATAATTCTTTACAATCTTGCAATTTAAACTGGTTTTCAAGCTTTCTTCTTCTCATGCTCCCTCAAGACCACTCACTCAGTACAAACATCCAACAGTGTAGGAAAATGTACAAATCCTGAAATCCTCAAGGAAAGCACATTTGCTTTTAATACAGTGAGATTTCTACTGAGCTTCAGGTGTCAGGTACTTGCAGATTTTGCCCTTCCAGCAAGCAAGGTGCACAGACTGTATCTTAGCACCTGAATGCAATATTACTAAATTAGGTATTTGATTAATAACTCCTCTCCACAAAAATGAGTGATGTAAAGAAGCATTAGTGCCTCCAACTACCCTGGAAAAAAGGGCCTGCAAACTTAACCAAGTCACATAGAAAGTCCATGGCAAGACTACTTTCAATATTAACTTACGCTGTTGTGTCCTCAGAGCAAGATACAGGAGTACAGGAAATCGTATAGCCATCGCACAGAACAGCATAAAAGTGACGCTGTGAAACAGACTGAGAGTTTCTGTTGTTTAAGACAATGCTAAGACAACAAAAGATACATAAAAAAAGAATCAATCATATATATATAGTTACACATGTCTGATTTAATGACTTAACAAAAGAGAAGGGCAAGGGCAAATAAAAGTGGTTTCTACTATGTTATAGAGACTTTCAGAGTCCACGTGGCAGCTCTTCAGTCATTACCCAAGTGCTCACACGTGTGTGAGGAATTCGTCACTGGCTCTCTATATTGCCTTTGCCCCTGTAAAAAAGTCAGAGTGGAGCAGCTTCCAGTCCCTTGCACTTGAAAGCCAGCCACTGCCGAGGACTCAAAAGCAGAGACCAAAATCAGCCTTAAGAGGTATCCTATATGCCTATAGTATTTCAAATGCAGACACCTTCAACCATCCAGATCACCTTGCATCTCCACCAAGATGATGTCAGCGGAGCTCCTTGCTGATGTGATGACACTCTTCCTGGAAATTTTTATCTTCCAAAATGAGAGAGAGAGACTCAATCTCTGCTTGTTCATCAGAAGCCTTCTCCACACATTGTGTATCTAGATTTCAGTAGCGTGCTTCAAAGATTACTCTCTAGCACTACAAAATTTCCTGTGACAGCCAAATACTTTTGTTCAAGTTGCCCCAATATCCAAAATGCTTTTACTTTGAATTTCACCTGAATTCTCAGACATTTTCAGGTGAATTCCTAAACGTTTCTGTTGAGGAAGGACCAAAAAGTCACCCTTTTCCTGATGGTTATTCATCAAGCAAGATCTCACATGATAAAGACAAGACCATGACCCAATGTATTTAATATAAATGTCTTGATGGGATGATTTCTGTCTTAAATCACAGCAATGAGGGCCACAAATAAAGTCTGTAGAACAATATCACATAAGACCATGCCAACCTAAGACCCCCGGACTCACACACAGCATCATCACTTGACTTACTTGTGATGGCAAGAATCAGCCGCAGCTCTCTGCAGTCAGTACCACACTGGCCTTCGCTGGATCACAGATCATAAGGGCTCTCCAGTGATAAAAGACAGGGGAAGATTTTTAATTTTTGTGGTGGTTGTTATAATTCACAAACAAGCAGAAGTAGGAAAATGAAGACAGACATGATCCTAAAAACCACTGTGGTTCCCTAAGCCAACCACCACAAGCACTGGGCAGAATGTGCTC